GGGGGGGGGGGGGGGGGGGGGGGGACGGATTGGTGTTGATGTGTTGTGAGTGACAACACACTCACTCACTCTTTGAGTCATGGTCCTCCATTGTCTTGATACGGAGGGCGTGGACCAGGAAGCTGGTGGTCCACAGAAACTCTGCAAAGTCCCCCGGCAGCTCCTGCCGTATCGACAGCAGCTCAATCGCGTCCGCCATAGCGTGGCCCGTCATCTGCATCGCCAGCGCCCCGGTGCGGTGACCCTTCGCCCGGTGCTCCCGCAGCTTCATCCTGGCGACCACGGCCCGGACCTCCCTCACATAGTCGGTGGCCTTGCCCACACACCAGTACCATGCCCACACCACATGACACCACGCCGTCTGGGCGTAGCGGATGAATGCCCGCCGGTGGTCATCGCCATCGCCCCCCATTATTCTGGGTGGGAAGGCGGGGGGCGTTAGGGTGGCGGTGGGTGTGGCGGTCTTGGAGCGCTGCGCCTCACTGCGGGGGCTGGTGCAGTGTGACGATATGGGGGAGCGGCCGGCGTCGGCTGGCTCGAGCAGGTTGAGCGTGCCTGTGGGGTAGTCGAGGAAGACCTTGGGCATGCTCGCGCGGCGCCGCTCCTCCTGACGGATGATGTGCTTCATTATCGGACGACACACACGCAGGAACAACCCTAAACATACACAGCAACACAGCACAGCACAGCACACCCCATCCATATGTATGCTCTGTGTTGGGTGAGTGAGTTTAGGTGGTTGTGCCACTAGCTAGGCTGTTTAACTGACTGAATATATGGGATCTTTCCTCCTTCTCGTCGATGTACTTGTACGCCAGGAAGGCAAACGAGTGGCGGAAGATGTGGTAGAGGAGGGAGGCGTAGTGGTACATATTCATGATGGCCACCAGGAAGATGATGCTGCCGGCGATGCTGGGGGACAACTCGAACAGGACCACGACCTGCATGAGGATGCAGCTGACCGTCCAGATGCCCAGCCCCTGGAACTCCAGCCGGTTGGCCATGTCGAAGTGCCGATGCAGAATGGTGGTCGTGTTGCCCAGCCTCGCTTCAAACGGCTGAAACAGCAGCTGCAGGGCCAGCGAGAGCACTGCGATGCTCGTCGAACCCAGCAGCAGCGCCGCGCTCGTGTCTAGCAGCTGAGAAATCGTCAGAACCGCCACGCGACGCTGATAGACAGACAGCACACAGAGAGGGATCGGATCAACCAAAGGGGTAATTGATTGCACTGGAGACAGCTGTGTGTACAACTAACTGTGCCTTGAGTTCACTCACTCACCACAGCGAATACGCAATCCCAAAAGAAGAAGGGTCTGCGGAGCCCGGTGTAGAGGAAACCGTATCTCTCCTGTGTGGAGGGCCGGTACAGCGACGCCCGCTTGGCCCACAGCACCACGAAGCACAGGATGATGGGAGCGATCCCCCAGAAACACAGCCCGAACGTCCCCATCCAGGCAAAGATCCGGTGGTCGTCCTGGAAGCACAGCAGGGACGGGCTCAGCAACAGCCGGCTCCTCAGGGTGTCCTTGACGGTATCCACGGGCGGGGATCTGGAGGGGTCGGCTACGAACTCGGTGGGCAGGTAGGGCATCCGCCGGCACCGCAGGAGCTCCAGCATGCTCTTGGTCACGGTGGGGTGGATCAGCGTGATGGTCGCTATCCAAAGAGGGGCGCACTGGGCCAGGAAGACTCCCACCGACTGCCACGTCACACGCCCATCCGGCGACCACTCGGGCACGTCGAACAAACCCATAATCCGGGAGGAGCTGCTGGCGCTGCGCCTGAGCTCGGGGGGCGGCGATGGCGGGTGGGAGCCGCCAATGTCCC